AATCAATTCCTGAGCCCTTATAACCTAAGCACCTCCTATTAGGCCCCACCTCCCAGCTCTATTGCATTGGGGATTAAGTTTCAACATGAGTTTTGGAAGGGAAAAAAAAAAATTCAAACCATAGCAACTCCTGTTTTCAAACAGGCTAAGACTATAACCCTTTTTGTCAAAGTCCTCCAGGTCGGACCCTACTCTCCCTTTGCTTATTCTGTTATACACTCTCAGATTCTCAGATGGGCTGCTTCCTCTATGGGAAGTCCATTTTTGCTCCCTGTTTCCAACACCCCTGAACACACACACACACACACACACACACACACACACACACACACACACACAAATGGAGCCTCCTGGAAACCCCTATTGCTCTTACAGTTTGGCCACAAATTATATAATCTTTGAGCCCAATCACACCAAGCCTCTTCCTACCTTTTTTCTTCCCTTAGAATGGACATAGTCCTTCCCTTTTCCCTTATTATAATAGTACTTCTCAGGTCAGATTAAGTTGTGATTTGATCAGTTACTGGTTTCGTGGCCAGCAGGAGAGATGGGGGCAGAAGGTAGGGGAGGAAAGTTGTCTTGTAAGGTAGATAGCAAAATATTATCTTCATGCAAGAAGGGGATGCTAGTCCTTAATTGGGAGAAAAGGGTTGGGTTTCCAGTTTAGCAAAAAGAAAAATAAATACAAAGACACTCAGTTAAATTTAGATTTTAGGTAATGAATTTTTAAAGTGTAAGTTTGACTAAAGTATTACATGTAACACATTTATTACAATTAGCTCTTTATCTGACATGCACATTTAACTGAGCATTCTGTATTTTATTTGATAATCCTAGAGCTCAGAGCGTTCAGGAGGAAGTGGGATAAAATGAAGAGATCAAAGTCTCTTTATATGTTACCAAGGATACCTTCTGACTTTCATATTTTGCCCTCAATTGTTCATTCATTTTCTCAGGCTTTCATATTCTTTCTACAACGTATCAATGGCATCTAAAAAGTCAGCAAATTCCATATAATTGCTATTTCCCCTAATCTTCTCAATTACTTAAGATATTACATTTGCATTTACATTCATTTCTACTAGTATCATTTGAAAGTTTTAACAACCTTCAAGTTGAAAATGTTGTTAAACTTTTTCATAGCATGCCAGAGACTACCTACTATGAGTATTTTATCTGTTACCAATGACAGAATACTCACTGCCTTCTTTGAAAATCCCATTTTGGAGGTCTATTCTCTAGGATCACTTCTGTTATCATATCTTTTGGGTAAAGTTCTAGGGGAAATTGACTATGAGATAAAAATTTGATTGTAGACAATTTATAGGGGCATGCTCAAAAGAACCCTTGTGAATTGATGAGGGAGGAAAGAATAGCAGAGAAAGAATTGAACTAATACAGTCACAATGAAGGCCTCAGCTGATCCTATGGGGAGTTTGGGAACTGAGATGGCCTTTCAAATTTGCCCAAAATTGAAGCAGGAGGTCTGGCTTTTGTCTATCTACATCTTCCCATCATTGGATGTGTGCTGCACAGCCTTAGGAGAGTCAGTTGCCTTTAGATAAGGCCAATTCTCCTGAATTTGAAGAAGTGAGTGCCCCTGAGCGGAGAAGATATGGCAAGGGGTGGAGAGTCATTCTGGGCAGCATAATACAGCCTCCATTTCAATGAATTTAATTGTATCTCTATTGGCTATCTTTTATCTCTTAGTTTTATCAATCTTTAGTATAATTTAAAAAATTATTTATCTTCATTTTCATTTTCATTTGTCTCATTGCCACAGTTTCTATCATGTATTCTTTCCAAGTTAACCTTCATTTATCATTTTTTTTCTTGTTTTCATGATTATTTCCTTAGTCCTGTTTCTGTTTCATAACCTTCTGTTGTTTATTTCTTGGTTCTTTTCCTGAATTATACTGTTTCAAAGCTTTAAATGTTTTCTTTCAGCTCATTTAGAAATACTAGGCCAGAGTTTTTATCTGCTTTGTGTTTGCATGTTTCTGGTGTGTTCACATCCTATGGGACTTGTCTCTCAAGGTATTAGGCTCACCTTTAGAAGTTTATTTTGCTGTCATCATACTTTTTGGGATTTGATTTCTCTGGATTCTTCCTTCATTTGCTACTATCTGAACTTTACTTTTCCCTTCCCCACAATATTTCTTCCCTGTTCAATTTGATTTCTGAAATAATCAGTTTTCTTTCTGTATGCGGATTTTTTTCTTCTGGAAGAAAACATATGCCGGACAGTTGTGAAATCCTTAAGGGACTAGTTCACCATCGCTCTCTTTGATCTCTTGATGATTCTGTGCAGTTTTCTTTATTTGTCTGTTATTCAGAACCTGTGATCACTTATTCCAATGTTTCAACTGCTCTCAAACCTATCTTCCCAGTTTGGTCAAGAAATAATGATATTTCAGATTAGGATGATGACAGTGAAGATGAACTGAACGTTGAGAGATATTCTGGTGATATAATCAAGGGGAATCACTTATGGTCTAATGTAGGAGAGAAGAGATGCTGAAAAATGGTTTTTGGCTTAGGCAATTATATGAAGATCTTACAGAAATAAGGGAAACTAGATGAATAATTGGTAATGGCAGAAGAAGGCATTCTATTTGTCTATATTAAGCTTGCAGCACCTATTAGATAGCCATGTAGATATATCAAATAAATCAGTCTTTGAACTGAGAGAAAACAGTGTGCTTAGATGTCGTTTGGGAAGCCTTTTCTGAATGCCCTCTTCCCATCGCATTAATCTTATTACCTTTGCTGCCCATGGCATCCTTCATCATTTTGATGGAAGCCTTTATCAAATTTATTTTGTAATTGCCTATTTATTGGTCCATTTCCTCTGTTGGATTGTGAACTTTTTGAAACAGAATCTGTGTTCATTCTTTTTTCAGGTTCCTTCCTGGAACAATGCTGACAGTCAGCTCTTACTTGTTCAATGCATGCACACAAGAATGTCAATTCTATTTTTTCTACAGCTCCAATTTTTGAAAACTGTTTTCCAAATTTGGCCAATACTTGCCTCTCTCTATCTTCTATTAACTTCAGGATTTATCTCTGAAGTTAGATATTTTTAAATTGTTTCAAATATTCTCTTACATATTTGACTTAGGCCATATGTGTATTTTATGTCTGGGTGAGCATATTAGTCTTTGAAACCAAACACATAATAAAATCCTCAACACTGTTTTCACATATATCTTAAATTATGTCTCCTCAAATAGGTTTTTGTATTGAAATACTTAAATGTAGGATTTATTATTAATATCATTAAATTTCATCTTAGTGAATTAAACACTTAATTTCAGAAGTGGAGATCATTTGGGATCCTACACATAAACATCTTGACTTATATATATTCTTACCTCTAAGTGCTCAGAGGCAGAAATTGGAAGTATAACAAAAGTGCCAATGTTGGGCTCCAGACCCTTGTCCCACTCTCAACCAAAAAATTATGTTTTTAGGTTAATGTAAAATTTGTTTTATGGTGAGGCCAATGTAAAATTTATATTTGGCATAAAGTTGTCTTAAAATTTTTGAAAGCCATTTTTCTAGAGCAAGTCACTGGTGCATGTCCCTAGACTGTAATCAATACTACATCCTTTTCTCTCTGTCTACTCATCACCCAATTTAAATGGTTTTAATTTTGTAAGTTTGCATGATTTATCCACTATAGTTTAAAAATGGGTAATTTTTATAAATCATTGCATCTACTTATTTTAAAAAGATCAGAGTAATTTGGTATCTTAGTGAATATTCTTATGATATATAGTTTTGAGTCCTCCCCAACTTTAAACACAAAATAAGCTTCTGTGAAAGAATTTGTCAATTTAACAGATGCTGGCCATTCAATTGATCTCACCTTGCACTTTGTGAAAAAATGCTGCATTTCGTGGTATGCTCAAAAAAGGTAACTGGCCAGTTTGTGCTTGGTAATTCAGTCTATGCGATCTACCCTGGTTCTTCTTTCCCTTTTTCTTTCACAAATACACCAAATGTATTTAAAAGGGGGGATGATATTGTACCATAAAATAATCTTACAACAACAGTCTCATGGAAGAGGATTTGGGAACCATCTAACTCAATTTAGGACTATTTACTCAACTAGGTATAAACCCAGTCAATGATACTATGCTTCAGCTAACACTTACTATTTTATTTAAATTGCAAAGAACAAAAACAATGATTAAATCCCTTGTCTAAATGCAGATATGTCACCAACTAAATTTGTTATTTTTAAAAAATAGACACAGGATCTCACTATGCTGCCTAGGCTGTTCTTGAACTCCTGGGCTCAAGTGACCCTTCTGTCTCAGCCTCCCAAAGTGCTGGGATTACAGGCATGAGCCACTGTGTGGAGCATAAATTTATTTTTTGATAAAATTAACACATGAAGGGCATACTAAAGCCTATTTTTTCATATTACTGGTGACTCAAGTTGGATTCTAATGGTATTCTCACAAGTTCACACAGCAACTTGATGATACAACTGAGACCAGAATCCTGGAATTTGGATTCACAGGCCATTACACTTTCTACTATCCCAAATACTTACAAGAGGGACTGCTCATAAATAAAGAGAGCACCAATGTAAAAACAACAACAACAACAACAAAAAAAACTGACAAAATCAAACAATTCAAAGGTAACATCCTCTGGCCCTTTACCACTTACAAATTCTTCCTTCTTCGGTTTCAAGTATTTAATTCGTAACATTTTCCTAACCTAAAACTGAGTTTGAGACTGAGTATCAGCTTCTACGAGGCAAGATGTAGAAAAAATAAAATTATTACAACTTCACCGTGTGATCTCCCCAGAGGTATTAAGTGCAAACTGTTTAAGTATTGCCCCTCCAACTTCCAAAATAATCGTCTCTGGATCGGAAATGATCATTTGCATAAAACAATCTGTAGAAATTAAAACACTTTAATATAAACATTTCCAGAATATAGACTGACTTTTTATATCAGCACTTTTTGAGAGCTTTTTTAAAACTATATATCATCTAAGTTTATTATAGACTTTTTCATTTTCCATGTTCAGAACTAGAAAATGCAAAAAATACACTGCAAATTAGATTGAACAAAGAAAAAAACAATCAGTTTAAGTTACTTCATACATATTCCTTTAAGAAAGTGGAGTCACATAAACACAGAAAAACAACAATACAATACCACCAACACTAAAGCAAAACCAAGCAAAGAATTGATTTTGTAATGCTTGGCAATTCTGTCCTTTAAAATAAATTATCTCCCATGAGCAAATAATTCATTATCACAGCAATTTGATGAGCAGAAGTAGACACAACTTCATTTAGGAAAACTACATTATATGTGAGATATGTGAGAAACATTTAATATATTTTTTTCTTTTTTAAGAAAATGAAGGAAAGTAACTTGAGGAAAAGGCATATTGAATACTTTTACTTCACTTGGCTTTTTTAGAGATTAAAGTAGCCATCTACCTAGAAAAATTCCAATAACATGAATTTTATGAAAGGAAATTCTTTAACTTTTTTCTTCAACTTTGAAGGAAAAAACTAAAAAGTTAAAAATCCTAGAGTAGACTCATCCCAAATCACTATCTCTTGTGTCTTTTCTTGAGTAGGTTTCTTTTTGTCTTAACTTCTTGTGTTCTCATGTTAGTGTTCAGAGGCTACGTTTAGGCTTTTTTGTTGTTGTTTCTTCTTTCAACTAAATTACAAGCTTTTTTAAAAATAGCTTTTCTGAAGTGACACTGACTGTATCTACCTATCCTTTTCTTCATCTGATCCTCTTGCGTTTGTCTAAGTCCATTTTCTTAGCTGATTTTCTCAATTAATCCTTGGGTAAACAAAACTAAAAGTTCAATACACAAGCGTAGGCTCAATCCAAAACACAGACTCTTCTCTTTTCTTTAACAGTTTTGCTTTTCTCTTCTGTTCTCCTTGAGTTCTTATGTTCTTTTTCAGATATTAAGTTTAGGATTTCTTTTCTTCTTCTTTTAATTCAATTTTAATTTTATACAAAAAAACTAAGTATCCTGAACTGACACTGACTATATCTCCCTCTTATTTATCAGATGTTGCGGTCTTTTTCTAAATTCATACTGTTTTTTCAATTCAACCTTGGGTAAACAAAACTAAACATTCAAAATCCAAGAATAGACTCATCCCAAAGCATTTCCTCTTCTGTCCTTTCTTCAACAGATTTCTTTTTCTGTTTCCTGTGCTTACGTTCTTCTTTCTCAGAAGGTACATTGTGGCTTTTTTTCTTTTTTCGATGCTTAAGCTTTCCTGAACTGACCCTGACTCTATCTCCCTCTCTTTTCCTTTGTCGGATGCTCTTGTCTTTGTCTAAATCTGTATCTTCATAAGTCTTTTTCCTTTTATGCTTGGACTGTTCTTTCTCTGGCCTTTCTTTGCCTTCTTCCAGGTGTCGTCTTCTCTTCTGATGTTTCCGTTTATGACCCGCTTGATGGTCAGTAGTATTGTTTTCTGGGGAGAGGTGCTTGTAAACTTCAGATTCCACACTGTATGAGCCAGAGTTATTTTCTTGCTGATTAAGGCTCAAGGGTACTGGTTTTTCTGGGAAATAGTCTCTGGTGAGTTGACAGTAGCTAATAGAATCTAGTCTCTGTTTGCTGTCATAAGCTGATAAACAATGAGGTAACTGGTTTTCCACTGCTTGTGAAATACTGTATGGTCCTGAATAGGCCTGGAAAGTCTCAAATGGGATCTTTTCCTCCAACATTCTATGTCTAGGTCTGACATCAACCATTTCTCTGTTCTGTGTTTCTACAGAGCTATCACCTATCTTTCTGAAACAAGTTTTTGGCTCTAGTCCTCTGGCTTTCTGCACTTTTATGTAATCTTCAAGTTCATCTTGGAAAGAATCATATGTCCTCTTTGAATGAACTGGTAACCACTGAGGTAACTGGCTTTCCACTGGCGAAATATGGTATGGTCGTTGGTAGGTCTGAGAAGCCTCACGTGAAAATCTTTGCTCACACATTCTTGGTCTGGGTCCAGAATCAACCTCTCTGTGTCCATGAGTATCCACAGAGTTCTCTCTCATATTTCTGAAACAAGTCTTTGGATCCAGTCCTCTGGCTTTCTGTACTTTGATGTAATCTTCAAGTTCATCTTGGAAAGAGTCATATGTCTTCTTTGAATGAGGCAACTGCGTTTCCACTGCCTGTGAAATATTGTATGGTATGGGGTGTGTTTGGAAAGTCTCAAATGGGAGCCTTTGCTCAAACATTCTATGTCTGGGTCTGAAATCAACCACTTCTCTGTGTCTGAGTGTTTCCAAAGAACTCTGTTCCATCTTTCTGAAACAAGTCTTGGGCTCTAGTCCTCTGGCTTTCTGCACGTTGATATAATCTGCACATTCATTTTGATAAGAGTCATGTGTCTTCCTTGAATTCTTCACTAGATTGATAACAATGGATTCTCTGTAAAGAAGACAGTAGAAAATTCTTGTTATTAGATTATTTTATACTGAATATTTTCTTTGCTCTTAAAAGTATTAGTCTGAAAAAAGAAAAAACAAATGCTCAAATTTTAAAAACCTACTTCATTATAAAAGCTATAAATCATCAATTTTTATGCCAAAAAAAGCAGCATGAACAGTGAGAACCTACTTCATTATAAAAGCCATAAATCATGACGTTTTTATGCCCCCCAAAAAGCAGTATGGACAGTGGTATATCTCTCAGGCACCTCACAATTTTTATGAAAAAAATAAAAAAATAAAAAATAAATTAAAAAAAAAAAAGAGCAAACTTCCTCAGGCCCGGGATGAAAGGGAAGATGGATATAAAGGAGCAGACTTATCCGATGTTGTTGTAGCACTAAAAATGTTAAGGCATGTTGGAATGTATGCATAGGAACTAATGATATTTAATGTCCTCACAGATGCTCTGATTTGACTGTCATATTGTTTTTAAAGTTTTCATTAGTGAGTTCCTTATATATATCTTACAAATGTGACAGGTACGTATTTATTCTGTAATCTTGAGGTTTTTTTTAAAGTCTAAATTATAAATCTAGCCAGGTGAGGTGCATGCACCTGTATTCCCAGCTACTGAAGCTGAAGCAGGAGGATTCCTTGAGCCCAGGAGTTCGAGGCTGTACTGCACTATGATGAGGCAAATAGCCACTGCACTCCAGCCTGGGCAAGACAGCAAGAACCCATCTCTAAAAAAAGGAATGTAAATGTGGGTTAATTGGGCAAGTCAGACAATTTAGCTTCTAAGTATTCAAATTCAAATAATATAAATATTTTCTACCAGAATAAAACAATGTTAACAGAAAGAAAATGTCTTGATTTTATTTTATTCATTTTATTTTATTTATTTTCTTGAGACAGGGTTTCACTCTGTTGCTCAGGCTGGAGTGCAGTGGTATGATCATGGTTCACTGCATCCTCAACATCCTGGGCTCAAGCGATCTTCCCACCTCAGCTCCCCAAGTAGCTGTGACCATGGGTGCATGCCACTAAACCTAGCTAATTTTTATTTTTTGGGGGTAGATATAAGATCTCACTATGTCGCTCAGACTTGTCTCAAACTCCTGGGCTCTGCCTCCCACGGTGCTGGGATTACAGGCATGAGCCACCAGGCCTGGCTCTATGTCTTGACTTTAAAAGCATCAAGACAAAGATGAATAGTCAAACACCTTTTGACTTGCTAACTAAACTACCCAGTCTCCAACTGTCCACTCAGTTCTCCTCTCCTTGATATAACAAAATAAAACGGACTAAATATTTATTGAATTGTTAGTATGTGCCAGGGCAGGCACCTTACACATATTATATTTCATTGTAGCAATCTTATATAAGAACTGTCCAAAGTTACACACTTGGTAGAAAAATGGATCTGGTATTCTAATCTAGGTCTATCTAACGGCAAGGCCTCTATTCTTAACCACCATATCCCACTGGAAAAATGGTGACTGGATCACTGGATCACTGAATCCCTGGAACTGAGCAAACCTTCCAGAAATTCTCTGAATTTAGGGGGTTAGTATCAGAGTGATTCTTTAGCATCTCTCCAAAGAACACTGCTCTCTAGTCAGGAAGGGTGCCAGTTAGCCAGCTTTGTCAGTACACTATCATTACTACAGAACTCCCTGAGGGACACTAGTATGCAATAAGTTACAAATACTGCCAACCATACCCAGGTTTAATTCACAAGGATATGGATGCCTAAGAAGTTTGTAAAAATACATCAAAGAGTGCTTAACTAGAAGGTCTAGTGTTTGGCACCATAGGAAAATTTTGGCAAAAATACTTACTTAATCTGATGTTCACTTCCTTGCATGTGGGAACGGAACATATCCAAAGATGTAAAAGCGATACTACAAATATGGCAAACATAAGTTCTCATACTAAATGCTGAAAAAACAGAGAGTTCAAGTTAAGAAGGTCAGTATAAATATATTTAGAATCACATAATGTTAGAACTGGAAAAGAATTTATTAAAGATCATTTACTTTACATTTTCCAATAAAGATGGGGCCCAGAGAGGTCAAATGATTTGGTCAAAGTCACAGAGCAAGTTAGCAGTAGTGTTAGCCTCTCAGAGTCCACGCCTCTTAATTGAATGGCCAGAATTCTTTATACTACACCACACTGCTTCTCTAGCTTGACTTACTCGCTAAAAATCTGCTGTCTACTTATTGTTGCTACATGGAGGTGCAACAGGCACCTGAAATTTAGCATGGCCAACCAACCTTTGCCTCTAAATATCTTAACCAACTTCTTTTTGTTTGCCCCTAATTCTGTTCCCACCCAACCAAAAGGTGAAATGTCCCAAAACGTTAAAAACAAATAAAGGCAAATTTTTACTCTCTTACCTGAAATCACTGCAGTGCATTAGTTACCAAAAGTAATTTCCACAGATTTTAGAAAGGAGAGAGGTTCAGTGAGCCCCACTCTCAGGATAAAAGCTGAAAGCAAAATTCTAAAACAAAACTACTAGTTACCACTTCAAAAGAGTCAGGAACTATTATAATTAGGAATTATATAGTAGCTAGCACACTATTCTGCTTTGTAGAATTAGAATCAAGGAATAAATTAATTTTTATTTTTCTAATCTCATCATCCTTCCACTTCATCTTTGATCAGAAGAAGCAAATTAATACGTTTCATAAGCCAAGTATAAAATCATTCTGACCCTAGGGAGAAGGAAATAAATTGGTACCTGCAAAGATTTTAAGGACAATCAAGGTCATCTTCTTGTAAACCAAAAAGCGACCTAATCATTTAAAAGAACTTAAATTAATTACTATCAAGTGTATTGGCCATGTCTGAGCAAAGACTGTTCATAGAAACAGGAGACTGCTTAACAAGGGGAAAGAAAGATGCTGACTTTGCAGAATATGAGACTGCACACTACTGACATATACTCTATTGCAGGCCTAGGAAAACTCAGCAGGTTATGTCAAAAGCTAAATGAAATGAACCCTCAAAACTGTCCTTCCCTGTGCTCTAATTTCATGCATACTAAGTCACTTTCTGATTATAATTTCATTTTTCATATTCTTTGATACCAAAAAAAGGATACCCTGGATTATATATATCAACAAAAACTAGAAAATGGAAATATGTATTTCCTCATACCATAAATCAACACCAGAATAACAATACAATAACTTAAAGTACAATGTTTCCAAGACTTCTCTGATAAAAATCACCTGGGGTGTTAGTTAAAAATATAGATTCCCAGGCTCTCCCCTGGAGAACATGACTTACTGTTTCTGGGTGAGGGACAAGAAATTTCTATTATCACAAATATGGCAAATGATTATCACAGGCCTTGTGAAAAACATATTAAAGTGATATTTTTCCAGTTTCTCAGTTATTTATCAGCCTCTTTCAAGTTTGTTTGTGGTTAGTGAGTCCCTGACTGAGGCTGATCAACTTGAGGATTTTGGACTTCCTGCAAAGCTAAAGGACTAAAACCAGGAGAGTACATATTTACAAGAAACTCTTAGGAAATTCTTACTATCTTTTATAGCTGCTGTAACTAAGGCTTAGATTAACTTTGCCAATACATTTTGAGGGTACCGAAGTGGTGCAAGGTAAGCAGGAGTCCTGGTTTCCTCTGGATTAACGGTTCTCAATGCTGGTTATACATTAGAATCACATGGAAAAATGTAAAATTATTGATGTTACAGCTGCATATCAGACCAATTAAATCAGAATCTCTAGGTGGAGAATATTGAGTCATGTTCTCCAGGGGAGAGCCTCAAAATCTATATTTTTAACTAACACCCCAGGTGATTTTTATCCTTACTTTTTGAAAGCTTTCCATATGAATTAACTGTCCAGCCACCATTGAGCACCTGCCCTAGATAAAGCTTCTCCAACCTGCAGCCCATGGGCCACATGTGGCCCAGGGTGGCTTTGAATGCAACCCAATACAAATTCACAAACTTTCTTAAAACATATGAGATTTTTATGTTTTTTTTTTTTTTTTTTTTTTTTTTTTGCTCATCAGCTGTTGTTAGTGTATTTTATGTGTGGCCCAAGACAATTCTTCCAAAGTGGCCTATGGAAGCCAAAAGATACCTCTACCCTAGATTATTGAGGTAATAATCTTCATTATGACTAAAAACTCAGGTTATATTTAAGTTTTTACATATTTATTTAGTGCTTATAAAGTATACTGTATATATGTTCGCCTCAGTTCCTGCTTTATTTCTCCACAAATTACATCAGAAACAATATTCTAATAGAGGTAACATAGAGGTTTAGAAGAACTGTCCATCATGTAGGAAAGTCCCAGAGGCAGTTCTAGAACTGTATGGTCTGATTACCATTACCTTAGCCCTCCCCGCCCCCTTTTTTTTCCCCACATATTGATGGTCTTTATCTTTTTCTAGGATTCAGACATCTCGGAAAATGATATATAAAAGTTGTGTAAATCCTTTCTGTGAAGATATGAAGCCTATTCATTGGCCCTAAGGTCAGAGTTCGTGATTGAATCCTCCTGGGCCTGCCTCCATTATGTTTCTTATACTCTCCACTCTTTAATTCCAGAGACTACTCTGTGGTCCTGTTCTGTTCTTGGCTGTTCTGTTATCAGGTATTCTAGGATTCCTTGTTCCTGAGTTCATCCAGAAACTCAGGCTCCTTTGCATCTTGTACCTTTCAGAATCTTCAATAACCTAATACTTGCGGGGCCTACTCTTCCCCTCATTATAGCCCTATCTTGCAAGTCTCTGAACTAAGGTCCTTGTTTTCAAAGCATGAATTGGGAAGGTGCATGTCTAACACTACTCTCAATCTTGGCTCCATATAAAAATCACGAAGGGAGTTAAAAAAGAGAAAACAAAACACAAATTATAAGTCCCAGAGATGGTAATTTAATTGATTGAAGGGATGGCCTGAGCAATGGGATTTCTAAAAGCTCCTTGTATGATTCTAATTAGTCAAGGTTGAGGACCACTGGTCTAACACCTTAAATGGGGAAAAACCAATTGACAACTGCACATAATCAAAACTGCAGCTGTCAGGAAGAATAGCTAATGGATACTGGGCTTAATCCCTAGGTGATGGGATGATCTCTGCAGCAAAATCACCATGGCATACATTTACCTATATAACAAACCTGCACATGTGCACATGTACCCATAAACTTAAAATAAAAGTTGGAAAAAAACTGCATGTGACTATGGGATTTATGCTATAAAGAAAAGTAGAAAATGTCCAATTTACCTATTTTTAAATTATGACAGGACAAAATATTTTTACAAACCTAACATTTGTTATGAACCTGTTCTTTGATGGGTACTATATATACTACTTCAGTTAATTATTATCCTGTGGAGTCACATTATTTTCATTTTATATCAGAGGAATCTGTGGTCCAATTTGGCAAGTGACTATAAGTGTATCTCCAAATCTATGTTTATCCCTCTATACAACACTGCCTCTCAATTTGCAAATATGAATTGAGAAAAAATTATGTCCTCATTACCATATAAAGCACTAGGAAGGATACTACAGAATAAAATGTTATCCTTTGTCTCAAGGATACTAATTCCCTTGAGGGGCTACAATTGATGCAATTTTCAATGAATAGTAAAGGCTATGAGAAATCAGAGAAAGGGGAGAACACCAAGAACTAGAGCAGTAAGGGAAGTTGTGATGGATCTTTGAGGACAGAAAGGATCTGAATTTGTAAGAAAGCAGGTAAGGGCATTCCAAGGGATGAAAATAATATCAGGTATGGCAGAGACAGAAATGCGCACAATGTGTTGAATCCAAATAATCTGTTTAATAAACACTGAATACCTATGTGGCACCAAGCATCAGGTTAGATGCCAGATGAATACAAAATGAATAAAACAGTCAAGTTGCTCACAAATCTAGTGTGAGAAAGACACATGAACAAAAAATTTCAGTCTCACTTGGTAAAAGTAAAAGAGGTATGTTTAAGAGGTATGCAAGCACAAAGAAGCAGAGGCACTCAGCATAATATGGGGGTCTGAAAAAGGCTATTGGAGAGATGATAAATAGTTAACTTGAAAACAGTTGAGAAGAGCATTTTAGGTACAAAAAATCATGAAAAAAGTGCTTAAAGAAACTTCTTAAAATTTGGGATTGTTGTAGAGTAAAACATAAGGGGAAGAGACAGGAAAAGGCAAAATGGGTCAGATCAAAGAGAGACTTATATGTTATGCTAAGGATCCTAGACTTTGTATTCTGTGTTTTGGGAAACCTCGAAGTGGTTTAAGTAATAAGTGACATGGTTGGTTAATTGTGTGTTTTAGATGAGTCTTTTCTGTGACTGCAATACAAAAGATTAATTTAAGAAGAGTAAGCCTAGAAGTAAGGAGATCAGGCAAGACATAATGAGGACACAGACTAGATGGGTCTCAGTAGGGGTAGAGAGAAGCAGGGAGATTGGTATAACATTCAACTTTAAAACTGGCAAAAGTTAGTAACAGGTTGAATGTCAGGGATAGCGGAGAGGAGAGAATCTAGAGAAGTCTAAAATAATTCCCAGAAATCTAATGTGGTAAGTGGGTGGGTGGCGATCCCATTAACTGAAATTGGGACTTCAGATGTATGTGTTGTTTTAATGGGTAGGAGAGTAGGCAGTGGCGAATAGTCTAAGTTTGAACACAGAGTCTAAGATATCTACCAAATTTCACGTAAAGGTGTCCAACAGGCAGTTATATACAGGAGTATGAAAGGCAGAAGATAGGTTAGAGAGATTTTGGAGATATCAGAACATGGAAGGGGGTGGGTAGTCAAAATAATCAGAGTGGATGAAATCTCCTGAAGATAATATATGGGTGGGCAAAGGAATAGCAACATACTGATAAAACCCTGGAGAATGCCATTCTTTGAAGAAAGATGGTAGAGAAGGATGAGCCTATGAAAAGTCCACCAAAGCAAAGGACAGAAAATTATAAGAATGAACAGGAGAGAGTAATGTCAAAGGAGCTAAATAAAGATGTCTATTGGATTTACAAATTTAGAAGTCACTTTGGCATTGTGAGTAGTAGTTACAGTGAAGTGGTAGACTAGTGGTGTGAAGTTTGAGGGAATGAGTGCCAACCAATGGCAGTGAGTTGAGCGAATAATAAGTGAAGACAGTAAGAGTGGACTACATTTTAAAAATATCTTGGCTAGGGAGGGAAGGGGAGAATGTAGTAATTAAATGAGAATTCAGGGTTACAGGAGTATTTGGTTAAACCAAGATACTTGGTAGTAATCCACATCTGATGGTCAAATTTTTCTTGATAAAATAACAAAGGAGGTTGTCTGAGAAGTGTGAGGAGGAGTGTAGAGTCTTGAAGAATGATATAGGTTTAAAACGGTTGCTAAGGGGAAAGTAAAGAAAAAGGAAACAGATTAAGTAGGACTAAAGGCCCAAAGAGGTTAGGTACCAAGACTCTGAAAGCTTACCTAATCCCTATACTTTATAATTTTCCATAGCATCATTCAGTAGGCTTGAATGCAGAAGTAGAAAATATAGAGGGTGGAAATGATCCAGGGTTGAAATCCTGCTAATAGGGAGTGAGAGAATAACAATGAGGTACAAATAAAGCTTTCCAGAAGGTTGTTACAGCACTATGGTGTGAGGTGATGGTAGTAGAAATGTAATGAAGGACTACAGAAAGGAGAAATAGTTCTAAGATTTGATAATAGTTGCTGATGGATAGAATATAGATAGTCAAGTAGTTAAAGATAGTCTCAAAGATTCAAATGCGGGTGACTAATAAACATTCTAGCTACTAGCAGAGATGGAAAACTCAGGAAATTCAAGTTGATTGTAGAGAAGATTATTAATTCTGTTTTAGGTATGTTGAGTTACAGGTGAAAGTGAGACATCTAAGTGCAATAACGGGGCCAAAAATTAGTAAGATAAACAAAACAAATACAATAAATAAAAAATACATACATACTTTAGTTCCATATCGTTATGGTAGCCATTCCTGTGCTAATAAGATCTGAGCTGGATGAGGGACATGAAGGAAGCAGTGAGAATGATGAAGAAAAAGAGAAACATTAGATATGGAAGAAACATATATAAACAATAGCAGATGGAGAGGAAGGTAGACAGAAGAAAATGGGTGATGAGTGAAACAGTTAAGATGGCATATGTTAAATCATTACCACTTGTTCACTTGTAATGAGGGCTTCTGCTGTTATTGTTCTTTGAAATTCTCATTAGCTAATTTAAATTATCCAGGTATTTTTAAATGTTCAAATGTTTACTGCTCTCAAAATGAAACTGCTCTCAAATGAAACCCAAGGCAGAGTTGAAAATCTTTTCCTTGAGCTCTAGCTTCAGAGGCTAATGTAAAGCAATTCCAATGACTGGATTAAATTATGCTGATGATCATCCCCTCTCCTTCATCATCAGATGAGATTTCACCAAAATCCTTTTTTCCTCATTCTAATAATGTAAAACTTCAGAGTACCAAAACGGCCCTCCCCATTTAGAAGTGACAGGAGTGCACACACTTCTCAAAGTTAACTCAGTTCAAATGTACCTAATGCTACAAAATTAGAAGCTGCTTCCTTCAGATGCCCTCAACCTAGTAACAGGAAAATACCTTAACAAGTGGAAGTTGTCATTTCTCTGAATATATACTCCTACTTTCAGAAGCCCTACCACTTCTATTTCTACACTTGCCTAAATCAACATTCTTCACAATCCTAGATAAAAACACATATCTCTATGTAACTTTCTGGGATATGTTGAATCACACTAAGTAGGAAACTGGAAGAGTAAAAGAACAGGATAAGAACTCAATAAAGAAAAAAATTAATAGTTCTCTGATTCATATATTAAGCTAATCTCCATTGAAGTGGGCCTGTTTCTGTGCCAGTTTCTATCTGCAGCACTGGAAATACAGATGAATTAGACGAAGTCCCTTGCCTCAAAGACCTTACATTCAAATGGGAGACAGACACATGGAGATATAATTAGACATGCAGGTTAAGGAAGCACAGAATATTAACCTTGAAGTAAGTGAATGAGTGGGAGTTAGCCAGGAGAATCGTGTTATGGGAATATTCCAGACAAAGTGGCAGCATGAACAAGGGCACAGAGACAAAAAAACAGGGTAATGGTTTCTGGAAACCATATATGGTTTGCAGATACTGACCCACATAGATCATGCCAGGAAATAGCAGGGGATAAGCCTGGAGAAGGTAGGCAGAAACAAGATGACGGAGAGCTATGGAGCTTAGATTTTATATTTAGAAGATGAAGGAACAATGAAGGGTTTTAAAGAACGGTAATGACACATGGAAATACTTACACTTTAAGTGAAACACTCTAGTGGTTAAATTGGGGGATGGTTTGGGGAAACAAAACTGAGACAGAAAGAGTAGTTAAGAGGTTCTGGCAATTGCTTCTCAAAACTTATTAAGTACAAATCACCACGGATCATGTTAAAATGCAGATTCTGATTCTGTAGGCCTGCAGTGGGGCCTGACAGTCTTTGTTCTAACAAAGTCTAAGTTCCCAGGTGATGCCAATGGCGTTGATCCACAACCCACACTCTGAGTAGCAAACCTCTAGGAAAGATCTTGAGGACCTGAAGAGCAGGGCTGGAGAGAAGGGGAGAGTAGTATTCAGGAGGTAAAAAAGTCACAGCTTGGTGCTTCATTAGATATACGAAGTGAAGAAGGTAGTGTTTGGGGATTCATAGTTACCTGCAGGTTTCTACTTTGAATGACTAGGTGGATTTGAAATGGCTATGAGGCATCCAGGTGAAGCAGTAGCTGCCATTTAGATATGTGAATCTAATGTTGAGAGAAAGGTCATAAGCATACAGATGAGAAATGAAACCAGGGAAATAGAAATCGTGTTTGTAGAGTAAGGTCAAGGATGAAACCATGGGAATACCTACATCTAGGTAATGAATAAAAAAAGAGCCCACAGAGAAAACAAAAAAGAAACAGAAATACAGGAGAAGAACCAGTGCATAAAGAGTTACATATGACAAAGAATAGAGCTTTAAGAAGGAGAGAATAATGAACATTTTCACATGAAGCAGAAAGGTTGGGTAAAGAAAGAACTGAAAAATAATAGTGAGTGGAAGAAAAGAAGTGGGTGGAAGAGAGAATATGAAAGGGGAATAAAATACACTAGTAGTGAGAAGGTGCCTGTGGGGGGAAAAATGAAAAAAAAAAATATGGTTAGAAGAGCAAGTGGATCACTCCAGTCAGGATCAGTCTCTTTATTGTGCCTGAATTCTTGCCATTCTTTCTTAGCTCCAAGCCCTTTGGTTCATCCTTTCTTCTTCCCACTTCTATCAATTGAAAATCATCTAAATATATGAATATTTTTCTGGAACATTATGCTTCACTCCTATAGTTACCAAAAATATGTACACAAAAATGCATGTCTGTCAGCTCTTGCAATGAAGTATTATTAACCTAACTAGTTTACACACTTGCTCCTTTAGGGAACTGTATTCCCAGGAATGACTAGTCTAGCACCAAAGAGACACTTAAACAATGCTTAGTAAAAAAATGATATAACCACATGATACTAATTTAAAATGCTTTCTTATGTATGTCCTTAAGGAACCTCATTTACCTAAAATAACATGAAACCATGAGAATTCCTATATTTGATTCTAAAATTAATACAGATCATCTGAACATTCAGGGTCTCATTTCTTAGAAAATGAACAGATCAAGCTACATGGACTTGAAAGTCCTTACTTATCTAAAATTCTATGATTCCATGAATACTATCAACCTCTCACTCAATAAGAGTAAAATGGTATGTAAATAAGCTAGTATGTTTTATAAAATACAAACTTCCTATGAAAAAGTTTTGTGAAAACTTTACTGTTTACCATTTGCATTTGGTTTTTCTGGAATAGCTTTCTCTCTTATTTTGCCTACAAATGTCTTCCTAGCTTCATTTCTTTTGTGTTTTTTTTCCCCAACATAATGTTGTTGGGCCATTACTGGACTATTGAAGGAAGCAGGATAGAGCTTGCAAAATTTGTTTGGATTATTCAAACCCAAATCCCTGCTGGAAGAGGAAGGCATAGTCTTGTCTTTAATCCCACCTGGAGGAGGCTTGACAGCAAGGGGCTTCAGGAAGGTTGACGCTGCAGAAGTAGTAAGAGGCACTCCTGCTGAAATAGTTGTAATAAGAAGTGATAAACACATGTTCAGATATTAAAACTGCATTTATTGTAAAGTACTAGGGAAGTTTAGAATTCTCTAAAAACCTACTCTCTGGATTTTTTTTTTTTTTCAACAGACAGCTGCTGGATAAAGTTTCTAAAGTAAAAAAGAATTTCCTTCTGTGAGAATGAAAATGTGAATACGAATCTGTCACCAAGTTTGATATGAGAAGGATGAAATGTTCTGTATTAGGAATTGCCTAATTATATCCACATAAAAAATCAGTGAAAGCATGATAACCATCTTAAGATGATTCTTTGAAATTAGTGAGGATAAAACATGATACTAACTTCTAAGTTAGTCTTTCTTGAGTAAGATAGCAAGGCATCCATTCATTCTACATTTGTGATTTCTGCATCAGAATAAAATGTATACAGTTAAACGTTTAAGACTATAAAACTGTACATGTTCCCAGAATTCCAGTATTTCATACCTCTTTTATTTATTCTCCTCTCTGAGCTCAAGATGATAAATTTGGGGACTGAAGATAAAGCTTTTACAAAATATTTTTTCTTGTAGGGCATAGTGATTTTATCTATCTTTTCAATGACAGGCTGAAAAAATATACAAAAATTAAAGACTAAATTTAAAAATAATTCTGGTTTTATTTATTAATAAAATGAAAGTTTTAATAACATATCTCACAGCATTGATTTTTCTGGGTGACATTTACACTATGAGTTCAAAATTAATGATAGTGAATTTTCCATGCCAGGCATGCCTTAGTCCTAAAGTGTTGAAGTTACAAAGATTTTGTGGTAAATTTTTTACTACAGAGGATTAATCATCATTTTTTGTTCTAGTACATGTACTTAGAAAAATAGAAGTTGGGTTTTCCAGGGTATTCTCTGCCATCTCAGGCAACTTTGGGTCAGTTTTCTCATATGCATTGTTGACCCAACATCACTGGAAGAAGGAAAGACATAATGTTTTATGCTTCCCTGTATCTTTAGGGTTTAACATAAAATAAGTACTCAGTAACTAATTGATGATGCTGGTAGTACTTTATATTCATAGGGAGAAAGAAATAGGCTGTTATGATAGAAGAAATTCAGTAATTTTTTTTTTTTTTTTTTTTTTTTTTTTTTTGCCTATAGTTAGTAGGAAACATATCACTACATTCTGGTGAAGACATTGACTTGAACACTCATATGAGATAATGTTTTGGAAAATAGTAAAGCAAAAAAGATGCCAAGGGGAAGAAACAAAAAGTGAAGATTTTATTATTTGATTAGAAACTGACAGCGCTCCAGCTGCTTACTGTTGTTTCTTTATAGCAGTACAGCAAATCACTTTCTATTGTTTGGATTTGGTGAACAGAAAAGGAGAGTTCGTAACGTTTCTTAAAAATCAGCTAGCAATTAAAATCTTCATATTAAATGACAAAGACAGAGACAGAGATTAACTGGGCAGAAGAATAATGATCAAGTTATTTCAACTGGGGTGAAAGTCTCCCCAATAAAAAGTGTATGGAAGAGTTAAACAAAACATGACAGGTAGATCCTGCACTGAAGATAAAGAAGTGAACAGAACCTTACCCATCTCTGGCTGAAATCCTGATGGAGATGCCTGATCATGTTTCTCCATTAATTGCTTCAGTTTTTTAGCATGGACGTTTCCCACATAGTGAGACTGAGCAATAAGTGGGGAGCTAAACATTATGTTGCAGACATCACAAAATTTGTTTTTGTCTACTCCTTCATTCCTATGCACCTGAAACAGGCACAATCTTGTTAGAAAGATTCAATAACTAAAGTTTAGAATTGCAATATCAACATACATTACTCACCTGAAAATTTTCAACATGCATCTTCATTTTCTTATCAGGCACTTCATTTTGCTCCCCATGCATTTGAAAATAAAAACTAACATTTTGAGCATGTTTCTCACCCTGAAAAAAGATACAATATGACTTCGTTTATTCAATAAAAGAGTCATTCAAAATTTATACCTTTCTGAATTTGAGGATGGCACTCTTGTGTTAATATATTTTGGAGGATGTGGAGAAATAGGAACACTTTTATGCTGTTGGTGGGAGTGTAAATTAATTCAACCATTGTGGAAGACAGTGTGGCAATTCCTCAAGGATCTAGAAATAGAAATACCATTTGACCCAGCAATCCCATTACTGGGTATATACCCAAAGGGTAACAAATCATTCTATTATAAAGACATATGCACACGTATGTTAAATTGTGACACTGTTTACAATAGCAAAGACTTGGAACCAACCCAAATGCCCATCAGTGTTAGACTGGATAAAGAAAATGTGGCACAAATACACCATGAAATACTATGCAGCCATAAAAAGCATGAGTTCATGCCCTTTGCAGGGACATGGATGAAGCTGGAAACCATCATTCTCAGCAAATTGACACAAGGACAGAAAACCACACCCCTCATATTCTCATTCACAAGTGAGTGCTGAACAATGACAACACATGGACACAGGGAAGGGAACATCACACACAGGGTCCTGTTGGTGGGGGCGTGGAGGGGTTAGGGGTGGGATAGCAGAGGGTGGAGGGATTGGGGAAGAGTAACATTAGGAGAAATACCTAATGTAGATGATGGGGGAATGGATGCAGCAAGCCACCATGGCATGTGTATATCTATGTAACAATCCTGCACAAACTGCACATATACCCCAGGACTTAAAGTATAATAAAACAAAACAAAACAAAGAAACCCCAAACCCCAAAACCTTATTAAAGCTATTATTAAAAAAAATTTAAAAATTTAAAAAAAACGTATTGATATTGATACATGTAGCTCTGGTTCATTCATGCTACATACTGTGTAATATTCTAGTCCATATGCTACCTATCCAGTTTCCTGTTTAGGACAATTATGTTTCAGTTTATTTTGCTAATAGAGGCATTGCTGCAATTAACATATGTAAATGGATCTCCCAATGTACATGTTCAAGAGTTCCTTGAGAATAGATACCTAGAAGTGGAATTCTTGGCCTATAGAGTGTGGATTTTCAACTTTACCAGGTATTAGAAAATTTTGATGCAGTTTACATCTCCAAATGCAGCAATGAGAGTGTTTGTTTCACTATATTATCTTGAAGTGTTAAGTGTTATTAGATTTTAATTTTTGCCAGTATTATGGTTCTTATATGATAGTTTGTTATCATTTTAACTTCCATATCCTGTATAATCATTAGTGAAGTTGAGTATCTATTCTATGGCCTGTTCACATCACTTTCCCATTTTCCTATTTGTTTCTTGTTCTAACTGATGTGTGATCCCTTACATATTCTAGACACAAATCTTTCATTAGCTATATGGGTTATAACTATCATCTAATGTGCAGCATATATTTTTAACTTAATTTATGATTTTTAAAATTTTTAAGATCTTATAAATTTCTTCTCCAGATATTGTGACTTATTTGAAAGCTGTGACTTATTCTAAAGGTGAAATTGTTGCAGATATAGGAAACCAGGCCAATACAACAAAACAGGATAAAAGCCTCAAAACAAACTTATATATATGTAGAAATTAGCATATGATAGAAGTGCCACTACAAATCAATGGGGTAAGGATGGACTATACAATAAATAGTGCTGGAACAACTGGCTATCCATATGAAAAAAATGTTATCACACTCCATACATGAAAATCAATACCAGATGGATTATAACATAAGAAGTAAAACTTCAAAGTTTTAGAAGAATATAGAGGAAAGTATCTATATGACAAAACTGTATAGAATGGTTTCTTAAAACACATACACACAGACACAAAAGAAATATTAATAAATGCAACCTCATTAAACTGCAATACTGCTGTATTTTACAATACTATACTGAGAGAGTCTGTATATCTTTTTTGTAAAAATGTATGTGTATATGTGTATGTGTGTTTAGAAATCATATTGGAATCACAGAAGCAAAAGAGGAATTCAATAATGGTTAACTACGAGTTATAGAATTATACTTATTTTCTCGTATTTTTGCTTATTTTCTAGAGTGAATAGTACTTTATGATTTCACAAAAAGCTGTTTTTCACATGTAAATTAAAACGGTTCAAACGGATAAATTGTAGTTATCTCAGAGTCTCCTGAATGTCTGTCTCTGTTACTAATTCTAAACCTGATCTATGGAGTTTAAAGATGTGCTAGGCACTCTCATACATTTGATTTCACTTAATTCTCACAAGTATAGTAAGATATTTTACCACTCTCATTTTATAGGCCCAAGAAATATGTTCAGAAAGGTAAAGTGACTTGCCAAAGCTTATATAACTAGTCAACTCATCAATGGTGGAGTCAAGACTTAAACCTAGCTCCTCTCAATCCAGTCAACACAATTTCCCTATCTGTAATTATAGTAATTTAATTTCAGCCAAGATTAGGACTAAAATATAATTACCAATATGAGTAGCAATGGGAAGAACAAGATGAGGTGTTTAAAAAAGGAGAACTGGCATTACATTAGTTTTAATTGAATGTATCTTGTATTTTTGGTAACCTAGATACCAGATATGAAAGAAATCCAACAGCTCATCAGATGATGTACAAATATGAAGCAACACCAAATGAAGGGAAAGAACACTGGATATGAAATCAGAATAAACCATTTTTAGGCTTAGTCGTACCAGTGACTAGCCATGGAGAATTATTAACCCTCTGGGTCTCAGTTTTCTAATCTATAAACTAAGAGAGCAAGGACATTAAACATTCTCTGCTTTAGCTCTAGGAGTCTATGGTCCTGTGTCTAAAAACATGTGGTTCAATCAACTAGTTAGTTTTGTTTTTGCAGTCTTCATTCACTGTAAACAAAGACTCTGCGAGTTCTAGATAATATCCCTTTATTCACATTTAGTTTCCTATGCAAGCTTCATAATGCCTCTCATATATATATATATATATATATATATATATATATATATATATATATTTTTTTGATGCGGAGTTTCACTCTTGTTACCCGGGCTGGAGTGCAATGGTGTGATCTCAGCTCACCGCAACCTCCGCCTCCTGGGTTCAGGCAATTCTCCTGCCTCAGCCTCCTCTTGATGGATACAAAGGGAGGCAGAGTGGTGTGAAAAAAGAAAAAAAATCTTTGGAGTAAAAAGACTGAGTTTAACCTGAATTCCCCAAACTTCAAGTAGTATATTACCATCCCTTTCTGAGCCAGTCTCCTCATCCATTAAAGGAAAATAATACTACCTTTTTCACAGGATTCTTGTAAGAATCAAGTAAAACGACTTACAGGAAGTTTACTTGCTACATTTAAAAACCTGCTTTAGACCCTATTACCATTATTTTTAACCTACCTCATAATGTGAAATTCTCTGTGATTCAAACTGTAGCATCACTCCACATACTTGACAAAACTTATCTGTAAAAAGTTCAGCCTTTTTCTGTTTATTCCAAATGGCATCTGTGAATAAAAAAGGAAAGACAAATATATCACATTAATAAATACTTAGAGATATCATTTTCATTCCTCAACTATATATGATTTTATATGCCACTTCAAATTTGAGTGCTTGTGAGACCAGAGTAACAGCTTTTTGTTTGAATATGCAATTTAAATTTAATATACACATACTAAGTATCCCTCTAATGTCAGATATAGCAAGAGTTTATTTAGTATGGTAAGTCTAGGCTATGGCATTCTAAGGAATCACTATGGGGGCATCAGTAATTTCATGAACTTCATGGAATGATTTTGGACACCAGTAATTAAAGGTTGGATTTCTAAATGCAGCCTTGGCCAGGTGCAGTGGCTGATTCCTGTAATACCAGCACTTTGGGAGGCTGAGGTAGGAGAATCACTTGAGGCCAGGAGTTTGAGACCAGCCTGGGCAAAAGAGCAAGACACCATCTCTACAAAAAAATAGAAATAAAAATTAGCTGGGCATCATGGCACATGCCTGTGGTCCTAGCTACTCCAGAGGCTAGGATGATCACTTGAGCCCAGGAGGTTGAGGCAGTTGAGGCTGCAGTAAGGTATGATTTAGCCTTTCAGCCTGGGTGACAGCATGACACTATTTCAAACAAACGAACAAAGAAACAACCAACCAAAAAACAAACCAGAAAACCAACCAACCAAAGAAAAAACAGCCTTGATATTTTGTGTTTTATAGCAGACAACCCTAAGAAATGCTTTGCTTTAGGACTGTCACTTGTCACAGAATTCTCTTAAGAATCAAGTAAGAGATTTTTACCACTCTCATTTTACAGGTCCAAGAAACATGAAGCTATGCCTTCAATGTTATCTAGAAATTACAAGGAACCACAAATTATCATTGCCCATAGTAGGCAAACATCCTTCATAACTGTACAAACATTAGCACACTCATGTGGCCAAACAAGTCTCATACAAGCCCCTCAAAACTATAATGTAATGTTCATATACTAAGATCTAGAAATGTATGCTATAGTGTTTATCGCTGTAATAAATAATACATACCAAAACTTTCTGCATTTATACTTGAGGTCTATACTGTCATCTAAAATTCTTAAGAGCTACAGTGTAGTCTGCCAAAGTTTATCCATGTTTCTATACAGTGTGAGTCATAAACATCAAAATTCTCATTGTTATTTGGCTATCAAAGTGAGTAAGTTGGTACCAAATGCATTCACAAAAAGATGCCAATTGCATATTAAATGAATAAAAAGTTGTAGAACAAACACAATATATCCAACTCCCAATAATAACAAAAATTAAATATATGCACAGAAAAATCTGGAATAAAATAAACCATATTTACAAATGGTTAACTCTGGTAAGTGGGGCTAGAAAAGAAACAAGGAGAGACAACTTAATGTTCAACTCTCTGTACAACTGTCTTAATTTTTGCAGAAAAGCATGCAGGATTTTCTAATTAAAAAACCATTAGGAAGAACATTATCAAGATGGTGGAATGGGACTTTTCAGCACTCATCTCTCTACAGAAACATCAATTAAAACAACTATCCACACATGAAAATAACTTCACAAGAGCCAAAAAACTAAAGAACAAAACAAATAGGCAGGAGATTATAGCAGCATCTGGGTGTAGCACAGACATAAGGTACATTCAAGAAGGTAGGAAAGATAGTTTCACACTATCAGCATCAGCCCTCTACCAACTCCAGTATAGAGTGGAGAGAGATACCCTATGTGTGAGAGAAATAGAGGGAAGGGAGCACTGAACTTTCATTCAACTCTAAAACTGGACCCACACCAATAATACCCAGTGCTAAGAAGGCCCCCACAGCCTCCAGATCAGTGGACTCAGCCTCCAGGCCTGCCTTAGTCACAAGCTGAATCATTCAACCCCAACCTCCAGGCCTGTACAGTGAAGTTGGTTTTCAGGTTACCTCAACATCAGGCTAACCTCAGCAGCACCAAGCCCTCAACCACCCTGGGCATTGGACTAGCTCCCAAGGCTCCTGGCTTCAGGCCAGGGTCAGCCCCAGCACCTGGCCCCAGTCACAAGATGAATCATTCAACCCCAACTTCCAGGTCTGTACAGTGAAGTTGGTCTTCAGGTTACCTCAACATCAGGCTAACCTCAGCAGTACCAAGCCCTCAACCACCCCCAGCATTGGACTAGCTCCCAAGGCTCCTGGCTTCAGGCCAGGGCCAGCCCCAGCACCTGGCCGACCCCTACAGCCCTAGTCATAAGGCAGGCACCTGCAGACTCAGCCTCGAGACCAGCCCCTGGAGGAGGCTGATATAAGCCCCAAGAGACTGGTACCCACAGACTGAGCCTCCAGGCCCACCTCAGCACCAGGCAGGATTCCATAGCCCCACCTTCTAGGCTGGCTCCGGTAGCCCTTGCTGGATCTCCTGCAGCTCAGTGTTGCAGAGACCCAGGGCCCAGGCCAGTTCCAGTAGACCACAGTGCTGGACTGACCACTATGGACCTAGGTGCCAGGACCACCCTTGTGTTACCAAGTTCCAGGCTGGGCCCTGCAGTTCCAAGACCCATGTTAGCCCCAAGGGACCTGACCTCTAAGCTAGCCCTTGCACATCAAGTCTCTGGGCTTCCTTCTACAGACTCAGGCTCCAGGCCACCCTCAGTAGTTCCAGGCATAGGGCTAGCACTCACAGTTCTGGGCTCCAGACCAGACTGTGGTTCCAGGCTCCACAATGGTCTCAGCACCAGACCCCAGGCTCCAGAGGTCCCAGGCTCCAGAGGCCCCAGGCTCCAGGCTTATTCTAGAAGACTCAGGGTCCATGCCTACTCCCATATATCCCAGTACCAGGCAGGACCCCTTGGACTGAGGCTCCAGGACCACCCATGCAGACTTGGGCTCCAGTTCTTTCTCAGTGATCCCAGGAATCAGGTATCTCAGTGATCATTTCAATAATCCAAGACACCCCAGTGCTAGGCTGGCCTCCATGAACTCAGGCTCCAGGCCCATGCCAGTGGTCCCAGGTGTCAGGCCTATCCAGTGTTCAGCCATCTCCTACAGACTGAGGTTCAAGCCCTACCCCAGCACCAGGTGAGCCCCTGTGAACCAGGCTTCAGGCTGGTTCTTGTGGATGATACAGGCTCCAGGCTCACCCTCGTGGACACAGGCTCCAGGCTCATCCCTCAACGCCCAATCAACAGGTCCACTGCAGTGGATTTGGGCTTCAGGCCCAACCCTGAGGACCCAGGTACGAGGCCCACCCATCTGTAACCCAGGTAGTAGGCCAGCCTGCCCAAGGATTCCAGCAACAAGCACATCAAGGATCATACTAGATGGCCTGCCAAGAATCTCTGGATGGGCTGACTGGTGAAGGGCTGACTGACTGAAATCAGATTTAATTTTTCCCAGAAAAATAAAAGATTCAAAATAATTGTTTTCAGGAATCTCAGTAAACTTAAAAAAAGAGAGAGAGAGAATTTAATAAAATCAAGAAAAAAACAAATGACCAAAATTAGACATTAACAAGAGACTGAAATTATATTTTTAAAAGGTCAAATTCTGGAGCTTAAAAATACTATGAATGAAATGAAAAATGTAATAGCATCAGCCTCAGAATTGATCAGGTAAAAGAAATAATCTACAAACTCAAAGATAAGCTATTTGAAAATATACAGTAAAAGGAGAAAAAAGAAAAAAAGAATGAAAAGGAATGAAGAAAGCTTACAGGATATATGAACAGCATCAAAATAGCAAATGTTTGGGTTATAAGAGCTCATAAAGGAGAAAAGAAAAACAATGGGATAGAAAGCTTATAAAGAAATAATAGCTAAAACCTTTCCAAATTTGGAGAAAGATATACATATCCAGGTATAGGAAGGTCAAAGGTCTCCAATGAGATTCAATCCAAAAAAGACTACTCCAAGATAAACTATAATCAAATTGCCAACAGTTAAGGACAAAGAGGATCCTGAAAGCTGAAAGAGAAAAGAAGCAAAAAACATAACATATAAAGGAGTTTCCATAAGCCTAGTAGCAGATTTCTCAACAGAGGTCTTACAGGCCAGGAGAGAGTAGGATCATACATTCAACACGTTGAAGGAAAAAAACCCTGCCAATCTAAATTACTGAACCCAGCAAAACCTTTCTTTAGAAATAAAAGAGAAAGACTCTCAAACAAACAAAAGCTGAGGGAGTTTATTCTCACCCAGGCTGTCTTACATGAAATGCTAAAGGGAGTTCTTCAAGATGAAAGAAAAATATAAAAATTATTAACATGAAAACATATGAAAGTATAAAACTCACTGGTAAAAATCAAATTCAGAATACTTTAATACTGTAATGGTGGTATGTAAATCACTTATATATTTAGAGAAGGTAAAAGATAAAACTATTGAGAATAATAATAGGTACAGTAATTTATTAAGAGATATACAACATAAAAATGTAAATTGTGACAAAAATATAAAATGTGCTGCGGTGGCAAAAGTGTAGAGTTTTTTATATGATCAAAATTAAGTTGTTAGCAGCTTGAAATAGCCTGCTAAAACATAAGATGTTTTTATAAATCTCATGGTAACCACAAAGCAAAAACCTATAGTAGATACCCAAAAGATAAAAAGTAAGGAATCAAAGCATACCACTAGAGAAAATCACTTATCACAGAGAAAAACAGCATGACATGAAGGAACAAAAGATCTATAAACAACCAGGAAACAATAAAATGACAGTAATAAATTCTTACATATCAATGTCAAATGTGAATATGTTAGATTTTCCAATTAAAAGATGTGGGGGAGAGGCAGGAGGGTTGCTTGAGTCCAGGAATTAGAGACTAGACTGAGCAACATAGCGAGACCCCATCTCAAGAAAAAGAAAAAGATACAGAGTGGCTAAGTGGATAAAAAACAATAGCAACTATATGCTGCCTACAAGAAAGACTTATTTTATCTTGTGGGAACACATACAAACTGAAAGTGAAGGGATAAAAAAAGATATGCCATGCAAATGAAAACTAAAATAGAGCAAGAGTAC